CTCTCTCACTCTTATAAAGAGGGGAAGGCAATCGTGCTTACCTTGTTTGTTTAGTAAGCTGTTTCATTAAAGGTTAGCAAATACCCAAAATTTTATCAAAAGGGTCAGATGGTAGATTATCATAAATTCAGCACACCTGTAGAGCCATCACCCAGTCAAGATACAATATTACCACCATCCCCTAAGTCCTTCCCATTTCCTCCCTTCCAAAACCTTTTCCCCAAATTTAGCTTTACCTTTTTTTCACTTTACAAAAACAGAATAATACTGTGTAATTTCTTTTGTGTCTGATTTCTTTTACTCACACTCCTAGTGCCACAGTAGGCGCTCTGGTAGCATAGTGCCTAAGGCACTTGGCTGCTAACCAGAAGGCTGTCAGTTCAAATCTACCAGCCGCTCCTCGGAAGGAGGGTTGGGCAATCTACTTCCGTAGTAATACTGCCTCGGAAACCCAAGGAGGGGTCACTATGAGCCAGGATTGACTCCACGACACATAACAACAACAAGTTCCACAGTGGTTAAGCACTTGACTACTAACAGAAACACTGGAGATTCAAAGGCAATAGGTCTTTTTCTTCAACATTGTTAAGAGCCATCCATATTGTCGGTAGTAGTGTCTTTATTTTGACTGCTATATACTATTCCACCATGTGACTAAATCACAATTTATACATTCAACTACTAATGGACATTTAGGCTGTTTTCATCAACTTTTTTTAAAGGCAGGACAGTCATCTTTGAATATAAATATGTTTGTTCCACAATCACTCCTAGACAGGTAAGGAACAGTTATTTCAGCTTTAGAAAATGTTAAGAAGTGGGAAAAACAGAGAGAAAAAAAAAAAACAGACAATGGATATGTTAAGCTAATTGAGAAGAGTTAGAAAACACTTTTTTAAGCAGGTAAGTTGATTTTCCGGCCACACAAGTGAAAATTTATTTTTGGGGATATTTTATGAAGAAAAAGTCAACATTCAGTTCAATAAATATTTCTGAAAAATAATATGCAATTTACCCTATCAGTAAATTTACAATTTTGAATCAAAGCAGGGAATATCAGGATTATATTTAACAAATAAAAATGTTTATTTTATTTCCAAGTTATGGATGGTTAGAAGATACAAAATAGAAGGGAATGAAGAAGGAAATTTGGCTGAGGGAAATCCCACAACTAAAATGACTGTTGTCGCTTAATGACCACAAATCTCAAAAGGGCACTCAATACTGGTTGGCGATCCTAGCATGCTGCTTTAGTAGCTTTCATTGCCAGCCTCTGAGAACTCTTTTATACCTCCTTTCCCGTCACACTGCCCACTCCAACATCCTCACAGCTGATGACCCACCTTCCTAAATCACTCCTACCCCTTTATATCCTCTTTCATTGGGGGGAAGTAGTTCTCTTCTTTTTTAAAGGCCACCTGGTCTCAGTAAAAGGCACCACCATCCATCTAATTGCTTAGAAGTTCTAAGGCAGAAACTTGAAAGTCATCCTTCATAACTTGATTCCTTTTTTCTTCATCCCCATATCCAATCTATCAGCAAACCTTGCCATTTCTACCTCCTAAATGTACCTTGAATCCTACCTTTCCATCTCTGCTGCCATCCTTTGGATATCTATTAATACCTCTTGCTGGATCACAACTTCCTAATTGGTCTACTCACTTATACTGTTGCCCCTCTGATGAACTCCCCATACAATTGTCAGAATGACCTTTTAAAAATGTTTATATAGTCATGACTGTCCTCTGCTTAACATGGCTCAGTGGCTTCCTAACTCATTTTAAAAAAAAACAACCACCCTAAACCAAGACACTTAGCTACTTCTTCAGTCTCATTTCATGCTCATCTCCCCAGATCACTGTGTTCCACCACCCACCCATTCAGTTCTTAGAAAATACAGAACTCTTTACTGCCTCGCAGCCTAAACACATACTCCCTCTGCCCTGCCTGGACCCCCCTCTCCCTGACCTCCCCCACCCTTCTTCATTCCTCACGTTACTAGATGTTTTTGCATTGTTTAGTTTTCAGGTTAAATGTACCCTCCTCAGACAGACTAATACTTATCCTAGTCATGGTGGGTACTGGTCTCCCCCTGCCCTTACTCACCCTCAGAGCATTTTGATATCTTCAGGCAGCTTAGTACATGCTATTTTATTTATATTTTTTAGTACCTATCTTCCCCTCACAGGATTATAAACTCTATGATGAAAGGGACTATGTTAGTCTTGCTCACTAATACATTCCAATACATAGCACAACACCAGCTACCACAGTAGGTGCTCAATAAATACGTTAAAAAATGAAAGGAAAAAAAGGAGACAGGAAAGATCAACGCTTTACTCCTTCCTTACTTCCTTACTACCCTGCTCTAAACCATCATCATCTCTTAATCTACATTACCAATGCAGTCTTCTAGCCAGTCTCCCAGCCTTGAATTGCCTCCCTGCTGTCTATCCTCAATACAGCAGAGTGACTAGTTTAAAAGACTGGGTCACTCTGTTCAAAACCTTGCTCTCATTTGCCTCATAATAAAAGTCAGAGTCCTTGCCCTAGCCTACAAGGCCCTGCACGATTTTGTCTATTTTTTTCCCCAAGCTCACTGTTTCAACTACACCTGACTCTTTGTTGTTCTTTGACCACACCGGAAACAGTCTTTCCCTCTGCCTGCAAGGTTCCAGATATCCTCATAGCTAACTCTGTCACCAACTCCAAATATTTAAGTCATTTCCTCAATTAGGCTGTTGTTGTTATGTGCCATCAAGTCCAAATCCGACATGACTCATAGCAACCCCTCCTTGGGTTTCCGAGGCGGTATCACTACAGAAGTAGATTGCCCCATCTTCCTTCTGAGTGGCTGGTGGCTTTGAACCACCAGCCTTCTGGTTAGCAGTCAAGTGCCTTAGGCACTATGCTTTCCTGTCCAGTTTTTTCAAAGTTGCAGCCTCCATACCCCCACACAGCACCTTTACTTACTAACAGATTATGTGGTCACATGTTGTTTTCTGTCTGCTTCCTTCACCCTCCACTAGAATATTAAACTCCATTAGGGCAGAAATCATTGTTTTATTTCCTAATGGATCCCAAGTCCTTAGAACCATACATAGAACATAGCAGATACTCAGTACATATTTGTTGACTCCATTGATGAGTAAAGCATTTCAGTAAACTCTAAGTTAAAATATCCTTTTCCAGTTTACAAGCAGTTACATATTGATATTTATTGCACAGTGGATCACAGAGGAAATTACCACCTTTCACAATACCCCTGGAAATGCTAATAAATTATTATCTGGTATTTTGATACAGGGATATGGCTCTGAAACTATTTTAGACACATGGTTTCTGGGCCCAGCTGATTCAACCAACATCTTCTGAATACTTTATCCAGACCCTGTAAGCTGGTAGAGTTACAAGGTTAAGTGAGATAAAGTCCCTATTAGTGGGACCTTAGTGGGATCTTGGTTCTAGTGAGGAAAAGAAATATATACATAGGAATTACAATATGGTTTTTAACTGCAATATAGAAGTTAGCACACGATTTCACTGGAACAAAAGAAGTGCCCAAGTTGGGGAGGCTAGAAAGGGAGTTAAGGAAAAACTACTAGAGAAGATAACAGGCCCATCTTAAGGGTGACAGGTTAGAAATGGACATTCCAGGTAAAGGGAAACAGCCTATTTAAATAAGCCAGGAGAGAGCCTGCCCCAAGTTAAAGCTTCAGCTAAGGATAAGTGGAGGGAAATGATGGTAGAAAAGTAGAGGTACTCGGTCCTTTATGGGTCACAAAGTTTGGATGTTATTCAGTACAGTGGATAGCTTCTGAAGGATGTGAACATAGGAGTAACAATCAGTTTCCATGTAGTGAAGGGCGGACTGGAGAGGCAAAACTGGGTGGTAGGACAGTTAGGAGGTTGCTATAAAGTAAAAGACTACGAGGGCCTGATCAAGTACAGTGGCAGGAGATGGACAGGGATGGATTTAAGAGGTATTTATTCATTTAAGAGATTAACCTGGTAGACAAAAGGATGTGGCGGGTGAGGAAAAAAAATCCAAGATGACCCCAAGGTTTCTAGTTGAAATGCATCGATAATTCACAGATAATTACAATACCAAAGGCAGAAAATATTTACGTAGGAGGTAAAAGATTAAGGAAGTTAGGCATTTGCTTCAAGTATCAAGGTGTTCAGAGTTAGAGGCGGGCAGAGGATGGAACCCTAGAGGAAACACCATGTAAGAGAAACAAAGTGTGTAAGAGCCATGAGATTTCTCAACTGCCCGTTATCCCATTTTCTAGCTTTAAATCTACACAGAGGAGAGGGGCCGGGAATAATAACCAATTTCCTTGTGGAAATCGCTCTTGCGATTCGCGAGTTCCAGCACAGTGCATAAGATTCCTGCCGCAAGAAACAGCCTTCGGCAGCGCGTTTGCTCCGGAAGCTGCTGCGGGCCGCTCCCAAGCAAGTACAGAAGAGAATGCTGCAGGGTACGTGGGAGTGTACGTGTACCTTCATTGCTAAAAAGTCTATAACTTGGGCACTCACAGATGCCTGGACAGAACAGGATACAGATTAGCGCTCTGGAAAAGGGTTCCACATAATTTTACAAATCATCTGTGTCTGCCCTTTTCAGAAAATGAGTGCAATTAGACTTATTCCCCGGACTCCTTTAGGCCACCAAACCCAACAAACCGTACTTGCCCCCGCCTTTCCCCCCATCCTAAACGGCCCAAAGCAAGCTTCGGATAAATAAGCCCACGGAAATTCCACGACCCGCAGAGACTCGGCCCTATGCTCGATCTTCCCCAGCCAAGTTCCCTCCCTCAAGGGCTCCCGGTCTTCCGGTGGGAAGCCCCGCCCACTTCCGCAACGCAAAGCTCGCTGAGCGAGACGCTAAACCTCAGCCAATGGCTTTCTTCGCAGGAAACGTTACCTCTGACCCCAGGGCTAATCAAAGACAGTGGGACGAACTCCTCGCGATAGGTGAAGTTGAAGCTGCCTCCGCCATCTTGGAGATGGGAGACGGGCGATGGCTATGGTCTTTCTGCTAATGCAAACAACAAAACGGGCACATTAGTCACACCCGAGTGAGGTTATCATCACTGTAACTGTTAACCAAAGCTACAGAAGAAGTGAGGGTGTCAAAGTCGACCGCGGCGATACTGATAGCAGTTTCACCTGCCTACTGTGGCGGCAGAAGTGAAGTGACTGAAGACCGGAAGGATGGTGCAGTCCTGTTCCGCCTACGGTTGCAAGAACAGATACGATAAAGATAAGCCCGTTTCTTTCCACAAGTAAGTAACCTGCGCGCCTCACGGGAACCGGCCCCAGTTAGGGCTGGGGGCGCGCGGCCGGTTAGGCTTGGGGGCGGAGCCTGGCGCGTGTCCGCGCGAGGGCTAATGAGGGGGGCGGAGGCAGGGGCGGGGTGCACTATCGGGATCTCCCAGGCGGGAAGTGGTGGGCGTGTCCGGACGTTGGAGAAACTCTGCTCTGAGACCGACGCGTTCTCGCTGCGCGTCGCTGTGGCGACCGTTTCTCGCGCTCTTAGAACCGGCAGGGAGAGCTAGGTGCGCTTGTTGTCTCAGGTTGACAAGTTCGAGTCCCGCGAACAGTGTCGGGAGGGTCATGAGATCTTCCCGCCGAGAGGCTTCTAGAGTTCGCCACCACCAGTTATAGAGAAGACTCTAACAAAAATACAGTGGTTCATTTGAAAAGGAAACAAAAACTTTTAAAACGGCGACCGAAATTACTATTCGTGTTCTTAACGAACTTGCTGTAGATGGGATGCCAAGGTCACAGCAATTAAGGATTAATTTTTGGCTAGTATTTGAGGGAGGACTCTTTAATTGTCGTAAATATATATGTAATAAATTATGCTGTTTCAACATGTTTCACTTGTACAATTCAGTCACACTACTTATGTTTACCATGTTGTTCAACCACTACCATTATCCGTTTGCAAATTTCCCATCGCCTTTAACAGGAGCTCTGGTGGAGTAGTGCCTAAGACATTTGACTGCTAACCAGAAGGGTGGAGGTTCAAACCCACCAGCCACTCCTAGGAAGGAAGGTTGGGCAATCTACTTCTGTAGTGATACCACCTCCGAAACCCAAGGAGAGGTCACTATGAGTCCCATGGATTTGATGGCAAGCTCAGACATTAACAGAAGCTCAGTAACTGAGGAGGAATTTTTTGCTTAACATCTAGGAACCAACCTTTACTCCCAAGTTATGGAGAAAGCTTCTGGTACTGCCAATACACCACACCGATAATCATAATATAGACGGTAACTATAGGAGCTAAGAGAAAACTGTCAGAGAAACATGACCTACAGCTGAAATTTGGGATGATTTTACCCAATAGGTGCTGCAGGTACAGTCCCAGGGGGGATAATATTGGCTTGAAAATAGGAAAATAAAACTGCAAAATTGAAATGAGTCAATGTTAAGTAAATGTCTACAAAACGTGAGGATTATTTCATTCAGCCAAGATTATTGTTGTTATTTGCCGTCGAGTCGCCCCAGACTCATAGCGACCCCTCCTTGGGTTTCCGAGGCAGTATCACTACGGAAGTAGGATTGCCCAACCTTCCTTCCGAGGAGTGGCCGGTAGGTTTGAACTGCCAGCCTTCTGATGAGCAATCAAGTGCCTTAGGCACTATGCTATCAGAGCTCCTCAGCCAAGATTAGGATTTACGAATTTTTATTGCGTTTGCATTAGACTTTCTTTGCAAGAATTCCCGAATATATAAGGATGATAACTAAGAAAGTAGAGCAATAGTAAACTACATGAGTTATTGATAGCCAGAAAACTACAACAACAAATGTTTAAGCATGCCTTTAATTTTGGGGGTAAAGACTACTTATGTTAGATGGAGGATGTGGGTGCATTTTTTAAAGTTTGATATAATATAGATTGGACCCTACAGAAATAGGAGTTCCTGTATCTTGAGAGTGTTAGTGTTTTCCCATGAAGAAGGTTGTAGAACAGTTCCAGGATTCAGTTCAGTAGATTCTAATATTATCTCTTGATTTATTGGACTCTCTGAACTCTGATGAAATTGACCTCCAGTACTTTCAAACTGTAGGAAAGGTCAGGAGATAGTGATAAGATCTCATGCATTCTGTTCCCTGCCCTCCTACCCTCACATTTCTAGGGATGTGGCAGAAGGAATTTAAAGACAGAAAATCCCTCATTGACACTTCAGAAATACTGAATTTCTTACAGATATTTAACAGTTGGTTGGATGGGATGAAGGCTAACCTGTATCTCATCCCTTATCTAAAAGAGCAGTATTTTGGGGAGGAGATGGGAAAGATCTTGAGAGAACCTCAAAAACAACCTGAGAATTTGTAGTGCTGGTCGTCCTTGGGCCAGTAGGCCCTAGGTACTGAGTTTTACCAGTAGATTGCTGCCGTAGTTTGTACTTACAGCGGCTGTATCCAGCGGGGAACTTGGAGGAGTGCAGCTTCTTCTGGCTTACACTTCCTGGGCAAAGGGACTGGTATTAGGATCAGCCAGGTCTCAGTAGTAATGGCGGAGTCAGGCTCTTACATAAGTAACTCACATGGAAGAGAAACTTGAACACAGATTTGAAATACTCTTCTTTGTCGTATTTCCAGTCCTTCCAGCTTACTGAATCCTTAACCTAGAAAAGTAAAATGACAATAAATGTAAACTCTTCCTATTTCCCATTATCTGGACCTCAAAAACATATTCTGGTTGAAAAAGAGGCAAGTCAAAATAGATCATTTTATTTCTTTATTTGCCCATAATTTGATTAATTCAGATTTAGTCTGTTCATATTGTCAGACTGGTTGTAGGGAACTAGAAACCTCTTTTACCTAGCTCATAAATATAAATGTGCAATTTTGTTTTACAGCACACAGAAAATTACTGGTAAGAAAAAGAAAAAGCAATGCAGATTTGTTCTATAGCATGTATTTTATTCAAAACTTTAAATGTCTTCAAAATAAAAATGTTAGTACATGAGATAAATAGATAAATTGCATTATTCTTTAATCTACTAGCATATTAGAGTGTGGTCCAGTATGGAGGATATTGCAGTAACTCCAAAGTAAGATGATGCTATCCTAAGTAGGAATATTTGAGTGTCTTTTTTTTTTTTTTTAAATAAAGTCAGAGAACTGAATTATGTCTTCTTCTTAGGTTTCCTCTTACTCGACCCAGTCTTTGTAAAAAATGGGAGGCAGCTGTCAGAAGAAAAAACTTTAAACCCACTAAGTACAGCAGTATTTGTTCAGAGCATTTTACGCCAGACTGTTTTAAGAGAGAGTGCAACAACAAGTTACTTAAAGAGAATGCTGTACCTACGATATTTCTTTGTACTGAACCACATGACAAGGTAATAATGTGTTTTAAAATATTGGATGGTTTTCTGTTTCTAAAATTAATGTCTTCATTGTGGAAAATTAGGAAAATTCAGAGTAGTGTTAAATAAATATTACCTAGTACCCATCGCTTGTAAATAACCACTGTTAAGAGTGATACCAGAGTCCTTTGGTGGCACAAACAGGTAAGCACTTAACTTTTGGCGTTTCATACCCTCCCAGAGGTACCTTGGAAGACAGGCCTGGCATTCTCCTTCTGGAAGGTCACAGCCTTGAAAACCCTGTGGAGCAGTTCTCCTCTGACCCGTGAGGTTCCTGTGAGTCAGAGTTAACTCGTGGGCAACCAACAACAGTGATACACTTTTTAAAAAAAAAGACAAAAGGTGGTATTTTGAAGTTAAATATATTCACACTAAGAAACTTTTTGTAGCTTTGTAACTTGTTTAAAGAGCATGTTACACCCCTACTTGTGTATTGGTTAAGTTTTGGGTTTTCTGTATCAGTGACGGTTCTGTTTCACACTTTTTCCCTCAGTTTTAAATACTTAGTGAATTTGCAGTTAAATATAATTGATCATTCTATATCTTTATTGCATCCCACTTCTTCAGATATGAAAGTATTAATAATACTTTAAGAAATCATTTTCTTAATTTTGGAATGTTTCTGTACCAGGGATTGTCACAGAAGTCTAATATTTCTTAAATGCCACAGGTGAATTCTTTTTAACTGTTACTTGTAGTTACCAAATTAAAACGTACTCTTTTTATTGTTGTAGAAGGAAGATCTTCTGGAGCCACAAGAACAGCTTCCCCCACCTCCTCTAACACCTCCTGTGTCCCAGGTTGATGCTGCTATTGGGTTATTAATGCCTCCTCTTCAGACACCTGATAATCTCTCCGTTTTCTGTGACCACAACTATACTGTGGAGGATACAATGCACCAAAGGAAAAGGATTCATCAGTTAGAACAACAAGTTGAAAAACTCAGAAAGAAGCTCAAGACTGCACAGCAGCGGTGCAGAAGACAGGAACGGCAGCTTGAGAAACTAAAGGAGGTTGTACACTTCCAGAAAGAGAAAGACGACGTATCAGAGAGAGGTTACGTGATTCTACCAAATGACTACTTTGAAATAGTTGAAGTCCCGTAAAAAAAATGAAATGTGTATTGATAATGGGGCAATACCACATAGCCTCTTCTAGCCTATAAAGGAGTTTCATTTGAAAAAGTAAAATACTTGATTACTTGTATAAAAACAATTCAGAATATTTTTTTAAAAAAATAAATTAGATATATACTGTAAAATTGTAATTTTTTGTTTCTAATTTCAGGGTTTTTACATTTTAACAAAATATTTTAGAAATTATAAACTAACTTCAGAGCTTCATTATAAGTTGATTTTGAGATTAGGGATTTTTCCTTTTTTAATTCGAGTGTTTATAGAAATGTAATAATTAAAGAGAGTAACAACAGTTTAGTAAATACGGTAAGGTACACTAAGGGTGGTTTAAATTTAAAATTTAAAATCAATGTAGTATATATATAGTTTTTGTTTTTGTTTTTGGTAGTATATTGACAGAACTCAGTTATATTTTAAATCAGAAGTATGGGTCAGATCATGGGACATAACTTCTCAGAATATATATAAATGTGTATATATAAATGTATATATACACACATGTATATATACATACACACACATTCACACATTCTTATTTTTAAAATCAAAAAGTTTGTGTATCTTTTTGAATCACTTCTTGAGGATAAATTAGCAGGTAAATACTTATGAAAAAAATTGGTTGTTTTTAGAGCAGAAAATAAAGTGTTTTCATAATCAGTATGGTTAAATCACTTTATAAAGTGGGACCCTTTTTCTTCCCTCACTGTCTAACATTATAAAAAATTATCTCCATTGGAAAAACCATTCTTCAATAAACAAAGTAGGCACTGTTACCAACGAAGTAATAAAACTGGGAGTCTGATCCATGGCATGCTTTTTTTTCTATTATTACTCCTCACCTGAGGGGCAGCTAGCCCCACCTGTAGTTATGTCTGCATTCAGATCTCTAACAAATGTGTTGTATTTGTAGGGTTGGATTTGTATCGTTCTATGATAATCTTTGATTCATTGATTGTGGTCAAGGCTTCACAAAAAAAATAATTTCACTTTTAACACAAGCTAGAAATTATATCCCATTTACTTAATTTGTACATGATTTGTATTCAAAAGTAACCTAATATGTAGTGTTTATTTTACTGACTGTAGAGATTTAAACACTTGAGGTTTCTGTTCAAACTGTGAGTTGTGTTCTGACTTTGTGAGAAGTTTAACATATATTTGAAATGAAAATATGTTCTGAGTAAACAAATATTGCCATAGTAATTGTCTCTGTAGACTTAGAATAACTGTTTCAACTATGATTTTCCCTTTTATATTTCTGAGTACATTAAAATAGTTAAAGATTAGTAGACCCTCTAAGACAGTATTAAAGGTGTGAAACAATGTTCAGAGGTGTCTTTTGTAGATCTGGTTTTCAGTATGACTCACTGCCATGCTGCCAGTGGAGAGCACTTTGATTCATGGAGATTTGATTTTTTTATGAACCAGTGCTTCAAAAATAGAAAATAATGATTAGATTACTTGAAGTTACATAACTTCAGAGAACACTATTTAGAATTAATTTTAATGAATCAGGGGACTTTTATGGTTATTCATAGATCTCAACTGCTTTTTGAAGCCGTAAAGTCTTCCAAGTAGTTTGGTTTTACATTTCATCTCTCTGGCAATTCCTGGAGGGCAAGTGGGTAAATACTTTGCCAGGTATACATCTTGAATCTAAATTATCTTCTACAAAAAAGATAATTGCTCACTCTTTTTTCTCCCAGAACCAAAAACCCAGCTTAGATTATAAAAGTAGTAATCATAATAATTTAGAATCTTAGCATTATGATTTAACCTGAAGCTCTTTTCGTGACATAGACCCTTATTTGAAGAGAACTGAGCAAGCAGCATATATACCAACTGCTTGTATTTAAATTATTTATTCTAATATACAGGGAGTTTGATATACAGGTGCTTATTTCTAAATTGTAAGATGTAACATTTGTTGAAAGTTTTAAAATTTCATTTTTTCTATTGTATTGTTTATTACATTGCCAAAAAAGGAAGAACATTTAGGCTAAAAAAAATCCTGTTCAAGCATAGTGAAACTCATTAATCTGAAACAAGTAAGGACAATCTGGAACACATGAGGCAAAGGCCCATGTGAATTGCAACATGTTCTGAGAGATGAGATTTACTTTAGCACATAGAATAACATACTGAAATTGCCAGATATGTGCGTCAGATCTGGCAGTTAATGGTGAAAAGAATGAACTGTTTATTAATTCATGGACTGCTGGGAGAACTGTAAAATCAGAGAATTTTAGAATTATGAGATACTAGAAATCATTGAACACTAGCCTAACCTTCCCAACCCTATGGAAATCTTCTGTAGTGTCCCTTGAAAGTGGTCATTCATTCTCTGTTTACCATTTATGTTTAAGCAGTTATTGTACTTAGGTTCTTTGAAATAGGTTTGTGGATTAGAATAAAAGCAGTTGTCACTCTTTTTATACCTCTTCTTTATAAAACAATATGAACTTTATTTTGAATTGTTTTTTAGTTTGAACTATCAAATTCCAAATTAGTTTTACAGTTTTATAAAATAATCTAAATGTTTACTAATTTATGCCTGTTATGTGTACTTAAAATAATTCTGTCATTACAGTAAAGAAACAATGGTGTTTGCAAATTGTTAGCAAACCTTTTTACTTGGAAATCCAAGAAGGTAAGGAGCTTTTTTCTTTTAAGTATAACTTGTGTAATTCCTTAAAAGTGTAACAGTAAGGTAAATGCAAATGAAAGTTTCACTTGATAAGGATTTTTGATGTTAATATTCTCTGATCTTCTTTATTTAAAAAAAAAAATTATACACACATAGATAAGCCCAACTCCTGTGGCTGTTAAAGTCTGTAGTAAGCAACATAAACTAATACGCTTAAACATCTATTTGGTTTGCAAAAAAATCCATTTGTGTTCCAGGATTTTAAACATATAGTCCACCACGAATAGTGTTTAAAGGGAGAGAACAGATCTGCCTTCTTGGCTATTACTATTTCCTGATATTGGGGATCATGTGATTTGGATGACAAGTGACTGAAGAGCACTACAGGGAGTCCCTGAGTTAAGAATATCCTCGTTACGAATGTCTGACTTACGGACAACTCCTTCTTGCCCTTTAATGCAGTGCTTTGAACTGGTTATGTCATGGCATGGTTCAGAAGCAAAACAGGAACAGACTGGAATTTTTATAAATTGGGTGAGTCATCATGGTAAATGGAATGGGAAAAATTATGGGTTGAAACCCTGGAATGGGAGATTTGGAGGAGGTGTAATGGGCCCTTGCAGGACCCTGGTTTGTGGCATTGGATTATTGGCAGACTGCAGAGAGCCACACATATTCAAAGTGGCACAGTCAGTTGCCATGTTTGAGCTAGGTGTCACCATCCTTGTGTGGGGCATCACCATCTTCAAAGCCTTGCTTGAATATTTTTTGCCCTTACTTTGAAACAACTGAGCTAATACCTAAATCAAACCAAGACCAAACCCAAATGAAACCCACTGCCATCGAGTCATTCTAACTCATAGTGACTCCCATTGGGTTTCTGAGGCAGTAAATCTTTACAGAAGTAGATTGCCCAGTCTTACTTCCATGGAATGGCTGGTGGATTTGAGCCACAAACCTTTTGGTTAGCAGTCAAATGCCTTAGGCACCGTGCTACTAGAGCTCCTTGAACTAATGCCTACTTGCAACAAATTCTTCATCATAATCACTTTCACTTGGTGCATGTGCAGCTTTTAAGTCATTGAAATAGCTTCAAGCCTTTTGTTGAAATAAATAAGCCCAATAAGGACATACACACCTGTTCCAACTGATCTGCAAACTTTTTTTTTTCAATTTTTTATTGTGATTTAGGTGCAAATTTACAAAGCCAATTTGTTTTACCCTCAACCGTCCCCACACATTTTGTTCCATGCCCTAATTACAATCCCAGCTCTCCTCCCATCTCTTCCCTGTGATTACCTCTTCCCTGCATCCTTCTTACATATGCATTCCTGTCTAGCTTTCCCCCTATGCAAATGCTGCCCCTCTGATCTTATGGTTGACTTTTCTAAGGGGTGCTTCTTAATGTAAGTGTTCTGCTAGTAGGCCTTTCTTTTGTTTGGCTTAAAGCTAATCTATGGAGGTGAGTCCAATTCCAGGCCCAAAGGATAATCTGGGACCATAGTCTCAGGGGTTTCTATCCAACCAGTAATTCTGGTCATTTTTGTGTTTTTGAAATTTAGTCCACATTTTTCCTCTCACAATATCCCACCCACTACCTGCTGCCATCAAGTCGATTCCGACTTGTAAGGACCCCCATTGGGTTTCCAAGGTGGTGAATTTTTACAGAAGTAGATTGCCCCATCTTTCTTCTGCGAAACAGCTGGTGAGTTTGAACCACCAACCTTCTGGTTAGCAGTCAAATGCCTTAGGCACTGCACCACCAGAGCTCCTTCCACATCATCCACAATCTCCCATTTTGATCCCTTTCTGAGTTGTTGGTATTGGTAGCTGGGCACCATCTAGTTCTGGTCTCAGGGTCGTGAAGACTGAGATTCCTGTGGTCCATTCATCCCTTGGACTAATTGCTCCTACACAACCTTGATTTTCTTCACTTTTCTTTGCTCCAGATGAAGAGAGATCTGTAGTTGCATCTTGCATGGCCACTCAAAAGCTTTTTTAAGACCCCTGAGCTATAAACTCTTAACACAGGAATGGATCTTGTTTGGAACCCAGGATTGCCTGTACACTTAGCTGATGGCAGCTGGTTTTTCTCTATATAGTCTTGTGTGTGAAAATACAATTGATGTGAAAGAAAAATGTTAAAGAGCAAATGTAGTGATTTACAAACAAAAAACCAATTATAACTATTGTACTTAAAAGTAACAGAGAAGTTTGCTCAAAATAATGTTCTTTTATATTTCTATGTCTTGATTTCCTTTCCACACTGGATGTGGCTTTATTCTACTGAGAATATTTCTTTCTGGATGATAAATATTTTTTAAGCTCCTAAAATCTATTAAGAATTTTATTCACTCTTTCCTAAATTCGTAGTATTTTGTGCTTTCAGATTATCAAAATTTCATTTTTAAAACATCCTAAGGGATATGAATAAACTTCCATTGTTTCAAACACTTTTTGGTGAAGCAAACTGTAGAATGTCAATGATAATTGAATAGAGAAATGACTTCTGGAATGGTTGCATAAAGAGATTCGCTGACCCCCCACCCCCATATAACAACCATAACTGGTGAAAATTATTTTAAAAGACAACCATTTAAAAACTCTGAAAATTGTTTTATGAGTATACAGCAAATGAAAAAACAGG